CTAGCTAACGACGCGACGTGGTTGGACGAAGTGGAGGACTGCGAGGCCGAGTGTTTGCAGCCAAGCGGGGACCCGCTAATCATCACAAAGAAGGGATCTGTCACTCTGTGCGTCACTGCGTGTGGCGTTAAACAAACGGTGAAGCTCACTGAGGTGTACTACGCTGCGGGAGTGGTGCACAACCTAATATCGTATGACCAGCTTGACCTGAAGGGCTGCACACTGGGGCGCAAGAACGGACGACGTGTGGTGGCCGATCGGAGCAGTGGTCGTGTGGTATTCGACGTTATGTTACGGCGGAACGTGCTGGTAGTGGCAGGTACAGTGGAGCGAAGACGGGAACTCCCCTCGGAGGTGATCATGGCCGCCCTGGACCAGAAAGGCGCCGAGACGGTGAAGATATGCAGGAGGGAGCTTTGGTGGAGTTCCATAGGCGGTTAGGCCACCTGAACTACGATGCGGTGGAGAGACTGGCAAAGGACCCGAGCACAGGCATCGCATTGTCGGATAACAAGCGAGTCAACTGCCTGACCTGCGCCCAAGGCAAGCAAACGAAGAGCCGACAGTCCTCGAAGGACACCGGGGAGCACTCGCCAGTCGACAGAGTCGGTGGAGTCATCTGCTCAGATCTGACCCATGACTCCGCGCGACAGGCTGCAAAATAGATACCTCGTGAGCTTCGTCGACCACAAGACAAACTACTGCCGAATCTTCTTGGAGAAGACAAAGGATGCGGCAGCCAAGCAGTTCGAGCACTTCCTGACGTTTCTTGAGAAGCGGTTTGACTGCCGAATCCACGTCTTGCGCACAGACTCGGGCGGCGAGTACCAGAACGTTCAGGAGCTGTCCGTGCTGTCCGTGAAGGATCTAGGGGAAGCAAGTAAGTTCTTGGGCATGAGGGTGAGCTACACGGAGTCGGAGGGCTATGACTTGGACCAAGAGGTGACGATCATCGACATGTTGAAAGCGCACAGCATGAAGAAGGTGCACGGCGTGCGTACACCGATCGGAGTGGAATGGAACGAAGCTTAAGCGTCTGAGGGCGCGGCTTTACCTGTCTCAGGAGGAGACGAGGTGGTGACGGTGAAGAAGTTTCAGTCCTTGGTCGGCAGCCTGATGTGGATTGCGCGCTGTACGCGGCCGACGTGGCCTTTGCGGTGCACAAGGTGTCGAGGCGCACGCACAGACCGACGGTTGCCGACTGGAAGTTGGCGAAAAGGATCATGCGGTACTTGGACGGCACGAAGGAGCTGCGTCTCCGCATGAGTGGAGATAAAGAGCCGGACGAGTTGCTCGAGGTGGTAGCGTACACGGATGCGGACTACGCGGCCGACAAGGAAGATCGCAAGTCGGTCACTGGTGACCTGGTAACGATGGACGGAATGCCGATCAGCTGGACCTGCAGGAAACAAGGGGGCGTGTCCTTGTCTACGATGGAGGCCGAGTTCACGGCAGCGTCGGTGATGGCTACGGAGCTGCTGGGGATCCGAGAGTTGCTGGGCGAATTGAAGGTTGAGCACGTGATGCCTATGGCGTTGAGGTGCGACAATCAGGCAGCCCTCAAGCAGCTCGATGGAGAAGGCTCGTCGGCCAAGGCGAAGCACATAGATGTGCGGATTAAGCTTGTAGGTAGCTACACTAAGAAAGGTGTGCTGAATCCGGAGTATCGCGAGACTGGGCGCATGTCCACGGATTTGATGACGAAGGCTGTGGAGGCACCAAGACTAATGGAGCTCAGAGCTGAAGTCGGGTTGCACTGAAAGACGAGGGTGCTGGCGCGGGGTGACGAGAGCCGTAGACCGGAGCTGCAGTTTATCAACCTGGGCGAGGAGGAGTGTTGAAGAAGGAGGATCTGGACCAGGATCTGGTGTGCGCCGTCAGCTGCGAACTGTAGGAGTGATGGTCAGTTAGGTTAGTGGCTGGTAATTGCGGATACAATCTCACTCTATCTTTTGCGTACTTACCCTCAGAAGCGCGTGGCGCGATCGACCAGGCGGTCGACATTTAGCAATAGCTATTATGCGCTCTGTGGAGCCATGACAGGTAGAACGTGCTACACCAGCACCTGGCAGCATCACAAGACAGCTAGTATAGATAAGATTAAAACATACCTTTAGGAATTATCATTGTAAATCACCACTCTTCAACCCGTAGGATTTATGGGCGTCCTACCGGTCGGATTTTTGACAGGAGAACTAAGGAACCTTAATTTAAACATAATTAAATTACGAGCCAAGCCGGGTACATGTACTGAGGGTGTTAAAGTTGATAACTTTTTTGGTCATTTCAGCTTAACTTTTTGCATTTTTTCACCGTCTAAAATTCTCCATCATGAATATATCCAACTTCGACCACGCCCATTTATCGACGATACGCCGGACGCTATTCAAAATGTATTAAGCTCACCTGTAAAAGCTGCCAGGATTCGACTTAAGCACGTCCACACACGCCACCGACGACTTGAAGGGATAGACTAGGATAAGAACAGCACTTTTGTCGGTCCCAGCGTCAGCCCAACAGGTACTTAGCGCCTTTGCACTGAGAAAGCTACACCACACGTGGCCAATTTGGAACCCAAGCGCACACCCTAAGATATTTGAAGGAGATTGCCATGACCATTGGCATGTTATAATACCGCCTCCATTTTTAATAACCGTCAGAAATCTGCCTGAATAAGGAACGGGGTTTCATCTAATAACCTTGCGTTTTTTATAGTCGGGAAAGATTTAGGGAGATGGGATAGTGATGGGCAAGGTACTGACAAAACAAACAATCCAGGCACTGACTTTGATTTCAATTTAAAAAAAAGGTGCGCAGTAGCTGATCCTCCTTCGCTTCAAGCCCTACGAGCCGAACTTCATTCCTACATTTACATACAAGCTCACTAGCTGACTGCGTCCTCAGCACCCCAATGTCCTCCAATCGTCTCCGTCTCACCTGGTCCGAGAAGGTAGAGGATGCTCGCTCACCTAGTCTGTCGTATAATGAGCTAGCTGAGTGGGCTTTGGGCTTCCAACGGCCCCTGGCAAAACGACAATATGCTATATAATCAAATCAAGTGTTGTGCTGTGCGGACGGCCTGTGGAAAAGGCTGTACGCAAGAAGGCGCAGAGGTTGGTCTCTCTCTAAGCAACGTCCGTGTTGAGGGGATCATCAATAGCATTTAAACGCTACATCTTATCGCAAAAATGATGTTCGCATCGGATCGCCTACGCGAAGGCCTCGACAGCCCGTACAGCGTCGACCAGCTAACTGCACTGCTCTGGTGCGAGGCTGTATGGTCTAAAGCTAGCGCTTCCACGATTCAGCACTGCTGGAATCACCCGGTCTCTTTCAAAATCCGAATCTTCAATTTATCTTAACTCAATTCAATACCGGTACATGCACATGATCCGATATCATAGTCTGTTTTTAGCGAGGCATTTCTTAATTTATATCAGGCGTTCCTTATTCAGGCAGATTTCTGTATTTTGATGGGGCCCAGCTGGTTTCACGGAGGCACTAGAGACCTGATCAAAGTCTCCGCTAAAGTTTTGCTTCGAAGTAAAATTTTTGGAACTTTTTCTCGTCTGGGCAGCCCAGATTCGAGAAGAAAGTGAGATGCGTATGCAGTAGGGGCGCAGCTTGATGAGATTCATGTCTTCCCGTGCTTCCGCAATATTCTGCACAAGATCCGTGCCCATAAGCGCGTCCACAATGATGATGACTTTACGCTGCTGTTTATTCATATTGCACTCATTCAACCATGGGGGCAAGACTAAGTTGTGAAGACTTTCCTTTAGTTGCGGAGCCGGTGTCCTTTGACCGACCAGATGGCTCCCGCTGCGCGGAGGTTACCCCTCCACGCAAGTCCCTGGTAACGCTGGCTGGTAATCAGGCTACTCGATTGACTGTATCTACCACCTCGAAGTACATGTCTTTAGTGGGCCGAAGAATGCAGCAGAGGCGGCGGCAAAAGTAACTCTCCTCGCTCTAATAACGGTCAAGAAAACATGTATGAACTTAGTGTTTGCTCGGTTAGACTCTAAGAATCCAGGCGGCAGAGTTGCCACTTGCCGCTGGCAACTCCTTTCGGCGATCGAGCAAAGCTGCACGAGCATACAGTTTGCCTCGCGGGCAACGCCTTAAAAATTGTGTTCAACACGCACAGGTGCTTCGGTGACAGTCGCGCACGACCACCCCAAACTACTGGACAGCGCCTCTGTCGAGGTCCTACCCGCCCGCCTCTGTCTTGCTTCGGGGCAACGCTTCTGACTGCTGTTGACAGGACGTAGCGTCGCGACCCCGCGAGATCGCTCTTACTCTTGCTCGGGGTCACCCATGCATCACCAGAGTGTCCCCAGCATGTAAAAGACGCAGAGAGCATAAGACCCCGCGTACAGTTCACCAGCCTGTCACCTTGACTGTCGGCTGTGAAACCGTGTGGACTGCAGCACCGGTGAGTGCTGTGTACGTCATACCTACAACAAGTACATGTAGCTTCGAAACATGTTATGCAAATAGGAAAGAGCCCTCCGTCGTCGTGCCACGAGACTGCAATGTCGTCGTGTGCATGTGCCGTCGTACGACCCCTCGAAATGCATCACACGGTCACCATAGACGCGGTTACACGTCGATCATCGTAGCAGCGTCGAGGCAAAAAGCATCGAGACTTGGTCCAAGTCTCTATTCGCGTTGGGATTCTTACAGTCTCCGTTCGCAGCTGGAAGCTGTCATCCACCCGGGAAACCAGATGCTGTCAAGTCTTGACTCAGGGTGTCAAGAGGCCGGTTTGTGTGCAAGTTACTTGATGGAGCTTGTGGATCGGATTCGCTGCCCCTGCCTTTTCGGTCGCTGCTGCCTGCTGTCATGCTTGACAAGAGGGAGCCACTCGGCTGCTGTCCGCCGTGCCTTCTGGTCCGGAACCAATTTCGTCCGCCCCCATGGCGATCGCGACGCAGTCTCTGCCTCATTATTCATTTGGTCGCCTCGGACACACAGGAACCAGCACCTCGACGAGCATGTCAGCGTTTTCAGCGATCCGCTTGCCGCACCTTTCGACAACCGAGGCGTTCCAGATACACCTGCAACAGTATCCTTTCAGTGGTATGCCGCACGCCAACTATGCCGCTCAGGAACGCATGGCACTGCCTCCTCTCAATGTACTGCCGTCGCGTGTGTACGCAGCGGCGCCGATGACAGCCATGGTGGCTTCTCCGGCCGCGACGCCGTCGAACCAGCCTATTCATTCGCCTGCCAAGAAGCGTGCTCGTGCGTTGCCCAACGCTTCCAAGTCCATCACGCTGGACATGCTGCGCCCACACTTCGAGAAGCCGTTGGCCGAAGTGGCCAACATCTTTGGTATCTGTATGACGCTCATGAAGAAGATCTGCCGTAAAAACGGTGTACCACGCTGGCCGCACCGTCAAATCCGCGGACTGCACAAGAGCATCTGGTCGATTGAGAAAGCTCTGCGTTGCTGCGAGTCCGAGGCTCAGCGTCGTTCATACAGCGACCACCTGCTGAAGCAGCGAGCGAAGCTGCTGACGATCCTTAAGGGACCTGCCAGCCCGAGCAGCAAAGCTGCTTTCGAGCTTGTTCTGTCGGAGCCGTGCTCCCCGATGAGTGAGGTGGCCGTCCAGAAGACTCAAAGCCCGAGCTTCTTGGTTGCCAGTCCGGCTGTGCACTTCCAAATGCCAACGGTGTACCGGACCCAGCCCGCACAGGTGGTCTATGGATCACCCAAGCTGCCGTCGATCGCGTCACTCCTTATCAAGAATGAGGAGCAGCGCCCTAGCTACAACTACCAGTTTTAAGTGTCACCTGTTTGGAGCTGTGTCTCGATGTGAGTCCAAGTCAATGGTCAAGACGCGTACATATGTTTCAGTGTTGTGAGTCGAGTAGCGTGCCTTCAACCGGTAGTGTAGCTTTTGCGTTAGGTGGACTGTAATGAAATCACTTTTTCAAACACATTTTGGATGCTCACAGAGTACTAATTTTCACGCAAATGGCGCAAATCTGTAATTGACTTGGCTTAAGCAAACATCCACTTTAAGTACGATATGGAAGCAGTACATGTAACAGAAAAAATCACCACGATCAATTCTTACTACAAGTCATTCAAGAATGCGATTCAGCTCCCAAAAAAAACGTTATGTAATTTTAGCTTTTTTTCATGAATAAAATGACGCACACAGTGATATCAATCATGGTACATTATATTGCATCGGTTAAATGCATTTTCGCGTCTAAGGATCACAATGCAGCGCTGTCCAAATACCTGCAATAGATAGTGGGGTAGGAAGGCCAGCAACTAGGACGCACGACGGTCCAAATCGCATCAACCTTCCATCTCTAATTCTGAGCCGTAACAGTGGGGTCCGTCATTCGGCGCGCTGCCTCGACCGACGACGAGCTGTAGCAACATGGCTGCGGAGCTGGCATCACTGGCACAGCAGTCTGTTCGTCGCAGTGAATAAGCTGTTGTTTAACGAGCGAGGGGCCCGTTGCATGGGCTCCCTCTTTCAGTACCACCAACCCACGCGGCAAGTCCATTGACGGATCCATTTGTTGCATAGATTCATACACACGCGAGATCTTCACCCAATGTGGTGGGTACTTGAATCTCGCCACATCCATGAGCAATACCATGTCTCTCTCGGCATGATATCCTCCAATGGGTGAGAAGTGGCCGTCTCCGGTCTGTCCAAGCACCTTGCGACTGTAATTTAGTACTACAATCTCTGAGCTTGTAGCACAACTGCGCTTAACGATTTCCCTGAACTGTTCCAGTGTAAAGTCACTCGTAGCTCGGTAATCCTCCGTCAGGACGCCGTTGCAGCGTGCCAAACATATGAACTCCGACATGCTGATACCTTTCTCCTTGGCCACACTAAGAGAGGTGCAACAGTCGAAGAGTTCTTCACTGAACCATCTCCACGGTCCTTTCCACAGTCTGCCAGGGTCGATTTGTAGGGCGTTTAGACACATGGCCAGTGTGGCTAAGCCACAGAACGCAGGCTCTGCCTGGGTAATAAACTGCTCGGCCAACGGGAAGTAGATTTGCATGTAGTTTGTGCTGCTGTTGATGGCGTCGGTGAAGAGCTTGCGGCCTTCCGGACTGGAGAAGGCGATACAGTCCTGTGGCAGATGTCGGCGGTGGAAACTGCTCTGTACTGCGCTGTTAGTGACGGTGGATCTGTTGACCATAGCGTGCATCTTGTCGTGTTCGTGCTGCTGATTATCTTGATCTCGACGGCGTCTCTCGGCCAGTTCTAGAGCCTCTTTCTCCTGCTGCTCCTTCTCGCGCTTAGTCTTGCAGCCACACTCCATGTCGAGTGGCAATTCGCACTCCTTAGTGTCCTCCTGGCTCAGCTGATTAACTCCTTGCGCCCGTTTGGTTAGTTGAATTCTGCGGAACGGTTTGTGCAGAGGCGGAATGGCTCTATGAGTCGAGTTGGAGGGGTTATTAATAACCAGAGGGTGGAAACGGATATATTCCTGAGCGGGTGGGCCACGGTTGTAGAGATGCGTATGTACTGAGCCAAGCAAGCCTGCGGGAGGCGGTGTGGATTTGGTCACAAGCACGGCGGTACTGTGGCGGTGGTGTGGCGCGCGTGCTTGAGCCTTGGCGGCGGCGGAAGCGGCGTTAGGGAGCTGCTTGTCCTCTCGCAGGAAGAGTTTCCAATGGGTCGTAGGCGCAAAACGCGTGGGTAACTCGCGGGTGCGTGGCCACATTTGTGTCGGCTGAAAATATACTTTCTTTGTCGTGTCAGATATGAGGCTGTGAAGCTGCTTATAGTACGGACGTTGAATCGGTAGATGCAGTGCCTGAGGACGTGAGGGTTCTCGTGAGCAAGACTACAAATAGCAGAATGCCGATAAGCGATCTGGGTCGGCGCGATTGACAGGCAGACTGACTCAGTGGTGGGGACACAGAATGGATAAGGTGTCGATGGCTCCCAAAATTATGCCTAACTGGCTTCAGATGGGTACTAGTTGGAGCGAGAAATAAATCTTTTGGACTAATGATGGAGTATTATTGGTACAATCAGCAAGATCATTCGTCGATAATCGAAGATGCTGAATGTGTCCATATTGTTTTGGGTACCAAACTGTTGCCCATTTTGTGGATCAAAATGATTGTAGCGTGTATACACGTTGTCGTCCTCAGGCTGATCGGTGGCTTTGACTGGGTTATCCGGAGCGGCGTGGGCCAATAGGAAGCGGCAATTTTCTGAAGGCACGCGTCTTGTGCCCACATTGGCTGGCGGGGTGCCGTGTGCCGCGGCAAGACACGCTTCGGCTCATGCGACCACGTGAGCCCGCGGCACGCTTCCTTTGGTCAGAGAGCAGCCATGGACAAGTGGATCTTGCTATGCGTCGGCGACGATCATGGCCCGGCACCAAGCAGAAGATCGTCATCCGACTGTGATGGCGAACACAAGGCAACTTCAACTTGCAGGTTGCTCACTTCCGATTCGACGGTAGCATAGGCGGGGGAATTAGACGGGGTCAATTGAGTTAACTTTACGCCGTAACGACCCCCAGCACGTACTTCGCGGGACAGCAAACATAGTTTTATGGCAAATTCAAGCCCCCAGTAAGTATTAATATTTTCATAAAATCCGGATGGCACAATTGGCTTCGTATGACCAGAAGCAGCCCCTTTCAGTCCGACTTTCGCTCACGGTGTCAACGCTTGCCGGTGCTACCTACTTCCACAGTATCAGTGCGATTTGAGCGTAACTTCTCAGTCTGCTAGGACTATAGGTACAAGAGCTCAATCAAGTTACCGTGCGCCATGTCCGATCTTCTCATGGCTTCAATCTTGATCCTCTACATGAAGAATATCGGTCTTGATGATCGTTTCCGGCAGAGGGATCTCCAGATATTCCACTGTATGAACACGACATCTCTTAAGCAGACCATGATCTTCAAGGCATTTCACGGAGTTTTTCATCGCCAACGGCGTAGAATGCAGCAGTTTCTTCCGACATGCCTCATACACCGACTGGTACGGCGGGAGCTTCGTGCCTTTATGCTTCCGATCACGACTTTTAGACGAGCTTAGAGCTGCGAGTTGCTGACGTGCAAGCTCTTGCAACGTGGCCACATCAGTTGGTGTTAGACTCTGGAGAATAAATTTGACGCCATTGCTTGTAGCGTCCGTCGTCTTCGTACGCTTGGTTAGTCGCAACTCAACCTCGTTCGTGTATGGCACACATGTGTCAAGATTCTGACTAAGCCACTCGAACCGAAGTAAATCCTCCTCTTTCCAAATAGATGGACCGTTAATGTGATCCATCGAAGCAATGAGACCAATGAAAGGAGCCTTCGCTAGCCAGCTTAAACACGTCTGAGCTTCTGGATTACGTAGCGCCACACCATCGATGCAGTGGACAAGAATGTACACCGGAGGCACATGTCGGGATGGCTTCGCCTTGAGAATATCTCGACACTACGTAAGTGGTAACGTTAGCTACAATCCGATGAGAATAAACGTGTCTGGTCTGTTACCTGTTGAGAAAGCGATTCGTTTTGCTTTACCTCCATGTTTAAGATCTATTAACCACTGTCAGTAAACGTTTATTCACAAGCATTTTTTAGTAAAGTTTCACTTACCTTTTTTTGGATAGTCTCAGCCAGATATTTAAGCGAAACAACAGGCAGATAACCATGCACCTGCATCACAATGCCGTCGCTTAAATAGGTCGATGCAAAGTCCTAAAGACACAATAAAACATGAGCATCTCTGAGCTATAGCACGATATAAAACTGCACTACTCACTTGTAGCAGCGTCAGCTTAGAGCCCACGCCATAGAAGAGCAGGTTGTAGCCGGCGAGGAGCTCGCTCTTCCATACTGGGAAGTGCTGCTCGAAGCGTCGACCTTTCGACTCCACGTGCTCATCTGCTGCCCGCAACTCTGCCAGTAGCTGACTATGAGATGGCAGTTCCAGTCCAGATATTTGCTCTTCCTGCTCTTCCTCCTGCTTTTCATCAGTGGCGGCTTGTCGTTTACTCTGCTGCTTTTCAGCCCGTCGTTGGGCTGCAGAAGCAGCCTGTCGCTCCTTCAGAGGAGATGGCTTGGTCTTGCGAGGTACGCGCTGACAAATCCGCTTGGATGTGAAGTAGGCGTTGGCGGAAGACGCACCTAGCTCCACGCTGGTGCTCGGCTCCGTTCGGCGCTGCTTCCAGCGCGCTCGGAGGCTCATTGTAGTTCAAATGTCACTATTTACCCGCGCCGTAGTGACACACTGCAGCTCCGATTCGATAAAGAATTCATGAAATATGTTTATCGGTTGTCTCGATACAAACATGGACCCGAGCTGTCGGTCTCTTCCTCCGCGACTCGAGTCCAAGAGCCCATAGAGATATTTCGGAGCCTATTGACTGAATGGGCAGCTACATTGGCAGCATTTAGTGACCTAACTGGGCGACCTACCGACGACGCGATATCGGTGGTTTCTGCTAGTGAAAATTACAACTTGTCAAGTTGTGCTGTAAATAACGTTTTAATAGCTCCACTACGACTTCAACTTGCAGTGCTGAAGTTTCCTGACGTGCACCACATCACGTCGTTTTGGGAGGAGCCCTTTGCTGCTCATTTTCACGTTGCCGCCACCTTGCGCTCGTCAAACCTACAGCTCTCAGCTTACGATGCCCATACATCGCCACCTTGTCAGCAACCACTGTTCGACATAAAAACGTAATCGATCACTAAACAGCAACTTAGTTATGCTGGGTTGTGTACACAATCTCTACACAAACCCGCATCATTCCGTCTCCGGCACAGTTCAGTATCCTAACACCCACGAACTGAAGACAGATTGCCGCCAGCCATGAAGTGTCCATGCAGGACCAAAAATGACGTAGAGGAGGAGCTAAACACAGCTCCACTAGACGAGCAACAGCAGACAGACAATCCGCAGATGGCTTACACACCTCCGCCCATCACAAAGCTACAGAACAGTTTCCACCGACGCCACCTACCTCAGAGCTGCATCGCCTTCTCCAGTCCGGAAGGCCGCAAACTCTTCACCGAAGCCATCAACAGCAGCACAAACTACATGCAAATCTACTTTCCGTTGGCCGAACAGTTCACCACACAGGCAGAACCTGCGTACTGCGGCTTGTCAACGCTGTCGATGTGTCTTAACGCCCTACAAATCGACCCTGGCAGACTGTGGAAAGGACCATGGAGATGGTTTAGTGAAGAACTCTTCGATTGTTGCACGTCTCTTAGTGTGGCCAAAGAGAGAGGCATCAGCATGTCGGAGTTCATTTGCTTGGCACGCTGCAACGGCGTCCTGACGGAGGATTACCGAGCTACGAGTGACTTTACACTGGAACAGTTCAGGGAAATCGTTAAGCGCAGTTGTGCTACGAGCTCAGAGATTGTAGTACTAAATTACAGTCGTAAGGTGCTTGGGCAGACCGGAGACGGCCACTTCTCACCCATTGGAGGATATCATGCCGAGAGAGACATGGTGTTGCTCATGGATGTGGCGAGATTCAAGTACCCGCCACATTGGGTGAAGCTCTCACGTGTGTTTGAAGCCATGAGTTTAGTGGTCAAGGCCATGAACAAGCCGCGTGGTCTAGTAATTCTGCGAGCAGCACCCCCTGCAGAACATTATCATCCTGAAGAACAAACGGGAACTCCGGTGGCACCAGCTCCGCAGTCATGTTGCTACAGCATGTCGGCCGTGCAGGCGGCACGACGAACGGCGAGTCACACTGCAACGATGCAGCGTTAAGTTTTGGAAGGCTTGTGACGACGAACGATTGGGACCCTCGTCAGTCCTGGTTACTGCGTCGACTCAACTTTCTACCATTAATTATTCAAAAGTTACTCGAGAAAATTAATTTTTTCCGTACTCAAGCTGCAGAAGTCAGCTAGATTATTTGGTAAATGCAGCATCTCTGGCCGTCTTCAGTCCACAGAGCTTCATTTTCAATGTATGATGTAAATAAACATATGTGAGTGGAGCATTATAATACATGTACTCACAACAACGTTCAGCTATTCAAAGTACATACACAATTAGGATTGGATACGCTAAGTACAAAAGTGCCAACCATATTCGACCATAAAGAAGTTTTCTATGTAGTGTAATAACGTTGCATTAGCTGGAGCCCTGGCGTCAGGAGCGATTTCTGAAGATTGACTTTTGAGTTTTGCAATACGGTATCAAGTTGAAGTGTTCTTGCATCGAAATGCGAGAGGGAGCAACGACTGGCGAGCGGAAATGTTGCAGCTCGAGAAGCAACTCACCACAGCTTTTCCTATCTTGGTGATCAGTTGCAAACACAGTTGCTACATGTATCAGTTTTGTTGCAATCTATTCAACTTATTTCGCGTATATGTACATGATACTACCCGCAGCATGAAATACAACTACAGCACGAAGCTCTGCGCTTCGCCCATCTCTGCAGCACTCTGCGTTTCGTGGATCTGGCACAAAAGTCCTCGTCGAACCGCTCGCGAACACCCAGAGTGTTCGCACCGTTTACCACCTCCGTGTGAGATGCAAAAGCCATTGCCTCGATCTTTCTTCTCGCAGTTGCCGAATTGGCATTTGCGGATGCCGCCATGGACGTAGCAGCGGCCTTTACGTTGTTGCCCACGTGTACAGCCCGGGAACTCGCAGCGTTTGCCTCCGCCATGTGCACGGCAGAACCCACCGCCTTGACTACTGCGGTTGCAGCCACCAGGTCCCGAGTATTGACACCGTGCACCGCCTCCATGCGCCTTGCAGCGACTGTTAGACTGAGCACGACGGGTGCAGCCATCCTCGATGCATTTCTTGCCTTTAGTAGTTTTGACATTAGCCTTGGCACTTAGGTTTTCCTGACCGACAGGCGACGGTGACGCCGTTCGTGCAGCTTTTGCTTTAGGTTGACTACCCGAGTCCGTTCGGGCTCGCTTAGGTCGAGCCATCATCGGTGGCGTAGCGAAATCCGCCGATACGATGAGCTCTTTCAGCGCCTTGTTGGTTAAGGAGGCAGGAGGTGAGATGGTTAGTGAGAACGGAGGTCGCTCCACTGATGCCTTGAGGACATCTAACATATTCGTCGTTTTGCGTTCTTCAGAAAGGGAAACTTCAGAATGATTGTTTCTCAATGAAGAGACCCACACTCCTGGGGATGGAGGTTGTTGCGGGTTTGTTGCAGCTGGATTGAACATGTCTACGGCCCCAGGACTGGGTTGATGTTGCACCATGGGGGAAGACAAGCCCATGCTGGCCATGACGACCATGTTTTTCATCGAGTGGCCTCTCTGGAAATTATTAGAGGACGTTTCTTGCATCCACGCGTGGGTGGCGGGAGAAAGTGGGGGAAAACCCGCATAGTTGCCGTAATACGGTTGACTTCCCAAGGGAAACACCGGCATCATGTTGGAGTCGAGGCCATAGCCGGTGTTACTCGAGCTGACGTTAGTGGAACAGATCCCACCCCTCGTAACACTGGAGCTATTCATAGCACCACTGGACGAAGGGGGTGATCGATACTGATGGCAGTTGTAGAACACGTCTTTCAGGCCTTGCTCTCCACCGTTTCGCGGCAAATCCAACGGTTCCAGTAGCAGCGAGTTGGTGCCACTTGTGGGTTTGTTCGCAACATGTTCCGGTTCCTTTTTGAAGCTATTCAAGTCGGGGAAATCCTGATCGCTGAGCATTTGACCGAACATGTCGTCCTCATTGAGTCGCGCGAACAGCGGCGCGTCTTCGGACGTAGGAGGCTGGAACGGCGCCTGGATTTGAGTGAGCGCGATGCCGCCGCCCAGCAGTGAGTTGGGCGGAGGGGGCACGAAATTGCCGCTGCTTGGGGGCGTGGGCACGAGGGCGCGCTCTGCCGTGAGCGCTTTGACTCTGCCGCAAGACGGAAGCGGCATCGAGGACGGGAAGAGACTCGAGGTAGCAACGGCCGCTCGCATCTCGGGCGCGAACAGCGATTCCACAAATGCCACCTCGTCCATGGCCGGAAATGCAGGGGGCAGCGGCGCAAACCTTCTCTGGAGGATGGACCGGGCAGTTATGGCTTGAAGTTGCCGTGAAAAAAACTAGAGCGAAGGCTACATCCAATATGGCAAGTAAGTATGGAAGGTGAGCAGACGCGGCGAAGAGGTATGCGAAAAACGGAATCAAAAGCTACCTGATTTTCGTTTGCAAGCGCCCCGGCAGAGAAAAAGTGAGCCCTTGGTCGCTGGTGTTGCCGGCAACGTTGCGGCGGCGGCTCAGTGTTTCCGCGGCGATGAAGAGCTTGCTGGGGTGAAGGAAGGCTCTGCTTCAGACTGAGTGCGCTCTTGTTCTGACAGCGTCAAGAAGTGGCGACTGCAAAGCGAATTGAAAGGGTTGCGCCGCAACTGGTTGAAAATGGCAAGAAGGAACCAGAACATTTCGCCATCTGTCGCGGGGCACATGGTAAGCTGAACATCTACAGCATTTTGATGGGCGCCGTGCAGGGCAGCGCGCTATCAGCTCAGCTCCGCGACGGCGGCGAGGACATCGGAGCCGTCTGCGCAACTCGCTACTTCGATGGCATTCGGCGGCCACCGCCGCTTTTGCCGGCGCAGATGAGCGCGTACATGGTTCAAATCGCTTCTCTTGCACGTCGGATCCTACCGACACACAACGCATGCAATGGCCGGCCCTGATCATGCTGCTACGCTCGGCGACATATGCAGGGTAAAGTCGCCAGGCTTTCTGAACATTGGCAGCCTGACGACCACCTGAAGCGTGGTGTTTACCAGGCGAGCAGAGAGCACCGCTGCTTTGAAGCTCTTGATCGTTCCTGCAACGCACTATTGATGTCGGACCTTGCCAAAGTACTGCCTTCTAGCCGCCGTTTGAGTCAGATCACATTGGGGACTATTGCTCTATCAGTCTGATACTGATACATTGTTGAACAGTATAATTATCTATTAGTTTTGTTACTCAGGTTCACAGTGTGAACCTACCGTGAGCTTCACGGACAGTTTTTCTTAACCCTTAAGAAAGTATTTCCGGTAACCTGAGCTGCTAGATTCAAAAATTCGCCAGTACATGTACACCTCTAATACAGGTACCAGGTTTACCGCTACTAATTTCGACTCCATATCGGGACGGTACAGTGTCTAGACACATGCTCGATTTTTTGGTTCAAAATTTGAAAGCAAAACAAATAACTACCAAACGATACATGTTCCGGTAGCAGTTTTGTGAGTTCTAATCAATTCCCACGCGCACGCAATACATGCAAGTGATTAACTCATTGAAAAGAAGCAAAACAACAAATTTGGTCGGAATGCACAGTGCATGTAGCCTTTGCGTAATTTCCTGTTACATGTGCCAGTATGTTGAGGAAACTCACTTTTTTTTTAAAATGAGCGGACTACAGTGGACCACAGAAGCAGGGCTTACGACAAGTACTGTTTTGATCTAAATAATGGCCTGTAAAAATTTCGCTGCCACAGCTTTTGATTTTCAGCCAACCTCCCTCCGCTTTCACCCCGAAAAGCGTCTTCTTATCATCTTATGTGTGTGGACAGAATCCTGACCAAACCCAGGGACGATGGGTACACTCGTGTGAGTGTGGTGGCTGCGATTCGCGTTTAGCCTTCTGAATGACGATGGGGGCGGCATAAAAAGATAAAGCGCGCTAGCTTTAGTGCGAAGCCAGGTAGGGCACGTTAAGAATTTCCTCGACAATGCCTTCAAAATGAAAGTATAATACATGGGCACGTGTACAGACTGATACGTCGGGCGTTTGAAGAATGCCACGCGCTCGAATGTGACAGCTAAAACAAAACAAAAACCATAAAAGGGAAGACATTTGATAGATCGCAATTATGTCTGTGAGATGTGCTAAATCTTCACAGAAAGTCATACCAAAATTTCGTTACCAGAAGCTTTCTCCGTAATTCCTGTACCATGTACGGCAGGATATCATGTTTCTCAAGCTTCATTTGGGAGAGGTTTTGCTGTACGGTAAATATTTCCAGTTAAAAGAGATCCGACTTATTAATAACTTCGTCATCGGCGCACGTTGAGGCCCTTGAATTAAGAAAGACTCGAGGACAGGCTACACTAAATTTTCTGCCTGTCCTCGTTTGGCAGCGATAAGTCAACGGTACATTTCATTAATTAGTGGTTGTCGTGCAGGCCAGGAGCTCGAATGACAGGCATCCACACCAGCTCGTTATTTAATTTCATGGCAACATGAATTATAAAACGTGTGCTGTAATACTAACGATACCACACAGACCTCCTTGCCTAGATGCCATGAGACATCGCTGCTCACCGCTGGTTGCCGGTTCCCTCTGCCTGCTTACTCCTTCAGGAGTAAGCCCTCAGCAGAAACTCCAATGGCAGTAAGGCCCCGCTTCAAGCATCTCGGCGTGGGATCGAGCAACACCGAACGGCTAAGCAATCTGGGTAACGTGGCATTCTGTTCTTCTAACTTGCCTTTCGCCGAGTGTAGCGCAGCAGTAACTGCGTGGCAGAGATCGTATATCATCTTGGTGAGATTGAAAGCAGGCGAAAGGAGCCACGCCGGACTTGGCCAGGAAGGACATGGACACGAGAATATCCTATCTAAGTAACGTCGCACATAGCGTTTCAGGAAAGCCTGGTTGCGGCAGCAACGAATGATCAACGTGACCACACCTTCATTCTGCATGACGGACAACTGGAAGATGGCAATCGATAATCGTTATTGCCAACTCCGCTTCACCGCAAGTCACGCATCTTGGGCTTGTGCGCGCGGCACCGACGTCGACTTCACACATCGTTGCGGCGGAGCGGCCCGGCCCAGCGCCAGTTTTCCATCAAGCAAGGGGCGCGAACATAGTTTCGGCAGGAATTAGCTGCCGGCCGGAGCCCCGTTTGTTGACGTGGATCCGCAGCCATGCCCGCCGAGGATAATGCGCTTTGCATCATAGTGAACAACATCTCAGTTCTAGTTTGACTTTTTTCTTGCTCGTATTCGACACATGCCAAAGTAAAACCAGTGCTGACAGTTTGGAAACTTGAACTAATTTTTGAGCTCGGTCCTTTCCGCGCACTTCTTTCCTGTGAGTAACGCAACGATGCAACTCCACTTGTTGACCCTTCAACAACTAAATCGGCAAAGCACGTGATGTTGCAGGTAAGTTTCGCCAATGCGCTCTGCATCGACGTGCTCGAGTTGCGGTGGCTTTCTGCAGGACGCACACTCGCCGTATGAAAGCCCTCACGCCAACGCACCCTTTTTGCGTGTGCTCTTCTTCGAGGTAAGGATATACCCTACGAACACACCTGTGTAGCCTTGCGATGGCGTTCCACATCCAGTGCTTCTGCAACTTACGTGTAAACTTGGTGTCACGTGCAGGATAAGAGCACTAGGCGCGTGGACAGACACCGTGGCTGCCGCTCCTTTCCCTGCCGTTCGCACTTCGTATCAAGAGCAAATGCCTGGAATTGCAAAGGAACGAAAATCCCGGCACATTTTGCTTACAAATGTCAATACCTTTTTCTACGAACATATTACGACCTCGGACAATCCAACAACAACAATTCGCAAACAATCTGAAATCAATTACGGTACTGTACAGTATCCGAATCGTGCTTTCGCTGCTACACTGCTCGACCTCTGCCGTCACGCCTAATTAGACGCCAGTGCGGCACTCAACGGATCATCCCGTCCAGTCGTGTGGGTACCGACGTACAGCGTTTGCCTCACACATGGCGCCGCTAAGCAGGCACTCAGGTGCGCTTGCGCCATGCGGCGGTCATTTGTAGATTTCCTACATCTGAAAGAATCGGCATCTGCTTGTGGCAACATCGCCCGGGCGTAAGCGAACAGTGCCACTCTCTGAAGCCGATCGCGGCCACGTCCACGTCCGTCTCCGTTTCTTCCCACCTCCGTTCTGCAACTCGGGCCTTTGCGATCCCAGCCGACAGGGACCATTTCCAAATCGGCGAGCGCTTAGCACGACAGATTACTAAAGCATCCCACGTTTTGCTGCCTCCGCCGCAGCATTCGTACCCCACCCACTTCCGCTTCACAAGCAATGTTCGATCCGCGCCTCTGTTCACCTAATTCGCCAGTTGACTCCGCCATGTTCCCGCCAGTGTACAACCGCTCGACGTCGTCGTCGTCGACGGCCTCCATGTCCTCGTGTCCGGGCGACGCCAGCACGGCCCCGTTGCCAATGAACAATGCCCATAGCAGCGACTTTGTAAAGCCCATGACGCCCAGCATTAAGCAGGAGCTCGAGCCCTTCGAGTTCCGTCCGAACCCGCGCTCGAACCCGACGCCTCGGTCTCAGAACGGCACTTCTCTCAGCTCGGTGTTCGGGGACCAAGACCTCATCGACGCCATCATGTATAGTCTCAACACAGAGCAGCACAATCACAATGCAAATGCCGTCGCAATCCCGGCCTTCAGTCCGGTGTTCGCCATGCCGAGACGCGTCCTCCAACAGGTTCAGATTCCACAGCCGACGTCCTTTACGGCGTTGATGCAACAGCGTCCTATCGGCATGCCTATGCCGGACGGTCGTGTCCAGCCGACCATGGCCGGCCCGTGTCTGCGCAAACCCGGCACGTTCCTAAACAAGGATGGTCGTTGGATCAAGGGCAAGCCCTGCCGAATGGAAGGCTGTGACAAGCGTGCGCAGTCCAACGGACTGTGCAAAGGTCACGGCGGCGGCGCGCGCTGCAGCTTCGATGGCTGCAGCAAAAGTTCGCAGGGTGGAGGCTTCTGCCGCGCCCACGGCGGTGGCAAGCGGTGTATGCACGAAGGGTGCGAGAAGGGCACGCAACGTAATGGCTTTTGCTATTTGCACGGCGGCGTACGGCCCTGCAGCGTCGAAGGCTGCGATAAGAAAGACCGCGGCAACGGCAAGTGCTTTTCCCACGGCGGTGGTCGCAAATGCCAGGCCCACATGTGCTTCAACACGATCCGACGGGGTGCCTTCTGCGATCTGCATAATGGCAAGCTCGCCAATTGAAGAGAGGGCGACCTCTTCGGATGAGCCCGCCACGCACATTTTAAGTTAAGAACCCGGAGATTGTGTAGCAAGACGTGGCGTGTTCATGATCATATAAACCCTCTCATTATACATTCTGTACGGTGTCATGGTAATGCCGCGATTCGATAGAGTTTTGCTACGTCTTCTTAAGTATCAACTTCGTGTTCGAGATAGCTGAGGTAGGGCGACAGTGCGCGGGGATTCGCTATGTTCGACCAGCGGATCTTGCCGGACAAGAAATTTTTCATAAGGATGTAGACCATAAAGGTGCCGCAACCGCGATCAAACGAGATGTTGATCACTGCGATCTGCAAAAATCGACTCAAAAATCGTTGAGGCAAAGTGAAGGTGTAAAACAGTATAATATATCACTCGCTCAATTGCAGTTCAAATTCAATTGAGGATACCGTGTTCATGTACTTGAACGATGCAACTTCCATTGCGGTCTTTGGAATCATGCACTTTGAATTTGTCCTCAACGATTGCAAATCCGGGCGCCAGGTTGGCTAGCCCACTGTCTTCACTGACAGAGTACGATGATTCAGCAATGCTGAATCAGCATGTCCCGGTTGGCAAGTCGTCAATGAGGACAACGTCACCGGCGATACCGGCAGTGACGGCCCGTCACTGACGGGGCTTGTTTCAACGACGTCTGGCAAATCTGAGCGGATGGAGCCGTGGGATGTCAGAAATTCGTTGCGGACTAAACACGGCGTCGGCAAACTGCCGAAGACAAGCATTAGCGCGCTGCACTACATATACAGTACATGTTTTAAAGTGCTGCATGCGGGCATTGCCCGCGTTCCCGTCGATTTGATGGCGCCGTTACAGGAACAAATCGGTTAATGTTAAAGGGTTTAGCGTCCAGCCGAACGTGATGTCGGTCAAAAACTGTAAGTTACAGTGTGCTCCTCTTACACTGTACATGTACAGTACTAAGAGTCTTAGCTCGTTCAGTCTGAACGACGATCAACGCGACGCATCCCGCCAGCAATCACACACAGTATCAAGTGCAAGTTGCAGTGCAAACCAGTGAAGCGCAACACCGTGATGGGAGGTGGCTACGCCTTGTGTCATCGATTGATCACCGCCCCCAAGCAGAGTTCGATGTGGGCAGCTCGGACTGAGCTCGAACTTCGAGTCGAAGTGCCTAAGGCCGCTCCTCCACGTTTTCCTTTGAAAGAACTCGTTTCTACCAGAAACTTTCGAGAAGTTGAAGCTACTGCCAACTGCCGCCGGGGAAAAACTAACGAGGGCCCTCCTAGAGAGGGCCCTCACACAAAACGGGCAGAGGTATTACCGGTAGTGCTGCAAATAGACCGTTAGTGACGCAGCCGTTAGTGATAGTTAGTTTTTAACCTGCCGCCGGTGGTGGTGGTGGTGAATTTCCATTGACAACCGATCGCGACGCGAGGCCTCGACGCAGCTTCGTCTTTGCCCGCTCAAGGCGACGATATCTCTGTCATTCAGTAGCGGGAAGGGCGTCAAGTCACGAGGTCGGAAGAGCGAGGCCTGTCCTTGCCTCTCGCCTGTCGACGTCCACGACGATGTCACGCGGAGGTGTTACGCTGCGTAACTTACGCAGCGCATTGCACCTGGCAATCAAATCGCGCGTGGATCAAATGCCTTGCCTCTTAAACACCAGGTACGGGCTTTGCCGTTTCTAAATAAACCACCCGGTGTACATGTATATGAATAATTTAAAAGCGGTAGCTTTTTGTTAACGAATCGTTAAAATAGCGATTGTAAAAATAGTGAACGGTCACCGTTCACTATTTTTAAATCTTGAGTGCTACGATGAGGTCACTCAACATGTCCACGCTCTGACTGCGCTTGCCCGACATGATCCTACCGTTTGACAACAGCGAGCTACATGTATTGCCCCCTGTTCCGGCACTCACGTACGAGACCGTCCTGTGCATGGAGTTGCCGGCGTTCGACCCGGTTCCGACACTGCGCTCCGTGCTGCTTAAACCTCCTCATCTTCAACGGTTCGCATGCTTCTTACGCAAGACAGGATGGCTCACTATGACCATTTACGGTTGCGGATTGATTCTGCGCATCGTCGTGTGCTCTGTCCCGGCACCTATCGGTCGGCTGGTATCTCCTTGGGCGGCAGTTCTGCACATTCCGCCGTGCATCGTGTTCGCCGCCGGCATCCGAGTCGAATTCGTGAAACTTATTCTATCTGCCTTCGATTTTTGGTTCCCGTTTGCAGCCAACACGATGTTTCTTGTCATATTCAGCTGCGTTCTAAGAGATATGAGAACTCTACTCGTGATCGCAGTGTGGATTGCCTTTGGATGTTCGTTTTTGCAGGAAACTTATTTTCGAGATTCTCGCAACATTGCCATGTCGGCATTTGTCGAAGCTTCTTTACTGGTTTTGCTTATGGGCAGTATTTCGCTCAACGTCATGGACGACTTGCACCATTCCAACTTGATAATTGCCGGCGGCCACACACTGTCCACGAAAGATGTTCTCATTAATGTGATTGGAACTATGGCAACTTTGATGATGCGCACAATGTACAGAAGGGTAAAACTCATAAAACGCCAAAAGAAGATGAAAGGCACCGCGACGCAATCACTGGGGTACCGCTGTTTTATTGCTTTAAACCCCACTGGCCCAGGTGCAACTTTGCGCAATAGCGTGGTACCTCATCCACTAGGTCCACTGTTATTTTTCCACGCAAAATCCACACTTTCACGAAGCAAACAAGATAGAATAAGCAGCAGGCACTTGTCGAGCAACCTAGTGTTGCCTCCGTTGCAAATCCATCTCGTCAAAAATCCACGGCACTACGACCCTCGAGACACACTGTGGAGATGCGTAGGATCTGTAGAACCTTTACACGTGTGGCAAGCGCTGGTTCTACAATTTTGTGGAGGTACAGGGTTCCTTCTCACCATTCCCGCTCCTGTTGCCAAAGAGACGGAAGTGATGGGCTTATTGTGTCTTTCCTCTACTGTGGTATTTTACGCGGTTAACCTGTTCTGTTGCCAACGGGTTTTATTGAAGCGAGTGGTGTTGTCACTCGATTTTTTTGTTTCTAATTCTTCAGTTGATTGCGGCACATTTGTGTCTCGCCGACATTTTGTCGTATCGTTGGACTTCAACATGCGGAGTGGCGGCCAGTTATCTCTGGGCTCAATGGAGCTTAACTATTGACGCGTTGACGCCAGCGATGCGCCACCGACTACTCATAAAGAACTGGATGCCGACGTGCTGCATCGCTCTCTTTATTGTCATTCAGCTTCTGGCTTCGCTCGACATTTTGGTCCTGGACTACTCGCATCTCCGTGATCGCGTGTTTTGGGATCTCAATTTTCTCGGTCGTAAAGCCCAATTTCGAGTCGTGACGTTTCTGTGGAGTCGGGTAGTGACCATTTTCGTTTGGTACGGCCGTTTGCTATACATTTTGGTCACTCGAACTCATGAGAACGCACTTATTATTCTACGAGGTAATGTCGAATTCGACTACCAAACCTGGAGGTTGCAAGCAAATATTGCTCGCGAAGTTAGAAGAATGGCCAAGTTTGCCAAATCCATTCAAGTCACCAAAGCTGCGGTGACATCCATCCCCGAGTAAAGCGCTGGAAGGATCTGTCCTTAAAAATTAATGATCTAAATTATACTATCATTTTTCTCCTCATACAACGTGCTCGTTTCACTCTATTTTCGCCGACAATCTAAAGCATTTGTGACCAACTTGAGGTTGCCAAGCACACGTCAGCACGTTGGTTGTCCGCGTTTCTAAACTGTGTCCGTTTCTCAGCATCACCACGCCAAACTTCGATAGTAAAACAATGCAAGCGCCTACTTCTTTTTATACCGGATCAAAGCCAGCCAACCAAAGAGACACATATTGGAAGAGTATCTTGCACTGGAATACGCACAGACCCGAGTCGAACTCTTTGGCCTTTTATTAATGCGCTCATCCCTGAAGTAACCTGGGAAAGAATCGTAGTGGGCCCTTGCGAATTCATGGAGCGAAGATTCGCAACACTATCACTTCTCTCCAGTACTTTTTTTTAAAAGGTGGTGTATCCTGGAACAATGTTTCAGTTATAATGTAAAGTTTTAACACGGGTGCTTCCTTGGCTTCATCGGATTCCAGCAGCAAATGCAGCATTGTTGATCTCTCTCAGTTTCAGCTGGCTGCTCAACGATTTTGATAATTAGGCTATAAAGGTTTCAATAAACCCTGTCAACCCAAAATGTGCCAAATAGTTTTACCTTTTGAAGAGAGGAAAAACGGGCTCGATCTCACTCGTTATCGCGGTTATATATTGGTTTTTCTCGAATGTGACTGCTCCTGTCACGAGTATATGTCCACCCTGTTATGGTCTCTACAGCCCTTTGTTGGCACTTGCCAGCCCATCGCGACAAAGACGGCTCTTCTAATCATGAATGCCGTTTACAGCTTTCCTCATTCATCAACATGTAAGCCCCCAACCCGGGCTGCCTTAACGAAGGGCGCGGACCATATACGATGTGCCGACTTCTAGTTAGATGAAAATTTCTGCCTTACGTTAATCGCAGCACCTACTACACCTTTTCAACTTCAAAATGGCGACAGGTAAAATCAAAGTGACAAAACGTAAGTTCAAAGTGACATGACACTGACACTTAATATTTATGGGAGTATTTACGTTTGGAGTTCATTAGATGAAAGAGGCAAAAAGTGGCGGCAACTACTCCCGCCAATTTTGGTGGACGCTGGCTGGCTGTACGGCGTCGATGGAATCAGTGGACACTGTTGCTGCAGTTTGTGGCCGCACTGCCTTTCATTCATTTAGCAATTCTCACTGTGCTTCCTACCCACACAGCAATGCTGTACGACGACGCTACCGTTCGACGGGTTCTCCGTGCAGCTCACGAAGGCCAAGATTGGCGCGATGTCGCGCCATCGTCAAGCTATTCTACGCGTCCCACCGCACCTCACCATCAAGGCGCACCGTGAAAGCTACCTAAAGCTGGCTGCAGACCTCCTCGTACTCGAAGCTATCACCCCAGAACTTTGCTACAAGTGCTCGTTGCACACCATGAAGTTCCATGCGCGTGCGATCCAGATGAAAGATATGCCTGTAGGAGAATAAAGACAATATCAAGAATAAAGACAATATCAAGTTTGGCTTTGCTGGCTCCTATGTTCGATGTCACTTTGAACTTACGTTTTGTCACTTTGATTTTACCTGTCGCCATTTTGAAGTTGAAAAGGTGTAGACGCTCCAACTTAAGAAAAAGGATTGGACTCTACCTACGATTCGGCAAATGCTAATATTGATAGTTTTATCGTGCCAAACTCTTGCTATTACTGTATTAATAGTCATCAAACGGCTGGTTACGATTACAATCTAGGTTTTACTGGTTTAACCGCAATAAAATCATAACCTCATTTTCTTAAAAACAAGCATAGACCGCATGTAATAACAAATTACATTAAAACAAGCATAGAAAGTGATCAAACCATTGGAGAATACCCCGGCACAGCAATCTCGTGCCAGCGGGAATGAAATGCTAACTATTGACCTCTCACGGTCGTATTGAGCCATCCAAACATAAAGCAACTCTATCGTGAGCTTCCACGTGGTCACGTAGGTGACTGCGACAGTCACAATAGCAGTACATAAATACCCATTGTAATTTTTTTTCGCTTACCACTTTCGAAATGAGGCCTTCTGCAACCTCGTGGCGCTTTACTTCGTACACTCGCTGAAGCATCGATGCTTACAGCCAAATTCCAGTAGCGCCGCCTCAGAAGCCCAACAATTCGCAGCTCGAAGAACTGTGTTGGGGGGGCAAAACGTTTGACACCCTGCAGCTCAATTCTGGGCGCCCGGCTTCGCTTGAATTTCTGTCGTTGGCTACACGCAATAAAAGCCTTCCGAATAGGGTCCTAATATACAATTGAAATACTGGCACCGGTATGGTCGTATTCCTGGTGCACTTGTGCCAGTATATTGCTTTAAATTATGGCACCAACAACGAAATTCAAGACGTTGGACACATATTGTTTAATTTAAAACAGCAAATAAGTCCTTATTGCTGCGAGCACTATGTGACTGTGATAACTTAGATATTCGCTGGTCTCGATACGTAAGAAGCAATGGGATCAGTTTGAATCAAGTGGCTTGCTGTGAGCTTGTGCATCGAGCCCTCGCCTCCCTAGCCGGAGCAGACAGTACTTCCACTAACGTTTGTTTATACAAATTGCAATTACTAGTATACCTTTTTTTCATCAACATTCTTCTATCCGTAACAACTAAATATCGTCTGCGAGCTCCGACCTCCCGGACATCCGGTGCGGGTCTCCCCAATAATGTCGTCTTCAGGATTCTGTTTGTTTTTGACCCCGGTCACTATTATTATTAATAATTGTGTGCGTGTTGCGGTTTTTGAGCGAAGAGAGCGAGTCGGTGATAGAGGCGCGATTTTTTTTTTAAATGACATTCTGACATTGCGCAACATGACACAGCGCAGAAAGTACTGTCGCATTTCCTGGTTACCGTTTACACGCGAACACGTCGTACGGGCGTTTTTCTTGATCAATACACAGTTCGTGCGTTTCTACTGGCTAACAGGCGCTTCAAAAGAAGCAAATTACCCAGAAATTGTCAAAGTGGTCTTCGTTATTGTTGCTGAATAAATCGTCGAGAGATCTTAGAGAGCGGTTGTCGTCAATTGTCGACGATGCGTTGCTGGGCGTGCTGGCCTTGCTTGGTGAGAGGAGAGTGGGTCCGATGCACGATTACGGGATGGATACTGGAATGTGCGCATCGAATGAAAGGAAAAGGGAAAGTTACTGGTGGATGGGTCCGCAACATGGTCTGTACAATTGGCTGGATGCGCACGCTTTGAAAAGCAAGGAGCACAAATCACAGCCGAGGGACGCATAGTCCAGCAAGAGCTATATACGATAGCCTCTGTAGATACGGCATGTCTACGGATAGTGACTTTGGATCCCCGACTGAAAAGACGACTAGAAGGCAAAAAGCAAGAGGGGCATGACGATACAGTGCTGGAAGAATTACAACACTCATCCAACAATGTGTTCGCAGATATTTGGGAAAAGCCGACCAAGTCACGGCTTCTAGCAGCTAAATTTTTGGCTGCAAGAGTATATATGACATGCAGAAACCAATATCGACTCTCGTAGAGGAATACATCCGAAAAACGGAACCAAAGACACCCGACGGGCTTCCATATACACATCGAAAGACGCAAGATATTGTCTCGCGCCTGAATGCATATAAGGCTTCTTTAGAATTTTTTTTTAACTAAAACAAAATAGAAGGCCACCTTTCAGTATGTTGAGCGTATTAGTGATAGGACATATCAAAAATCGCAAAGTATTAGTGATAGGGACTAATCGGCGGTTAGCACATGGCTGAATATTTTGCTAAAATTGAGTCTTATTTCCACAGCCTTTTTTGCCCGGTATTTTTGTCGATTATTTTGAGAAGATGACGAAATGTTTGCATTTTTAGGTTGCCGACACGTATTTTCTGTCCACCTTTCGAGACTTCACATTTACGTTGATTATCTTGGTGTATCAATTTATCGCGTCCTAAGATATTGAGCAGCACGTAAGCAAATCCTAATTGAATTTAAGCTCACAACCAGTCGAAATTGTAATTTGCGTGCATTCATGTTGATACGCAGAATTTAGGAAAACTTATTAATAGTGATGGCAAAAGTTTGGACACTATCTAAAGTTACGTCTAAATAAAGTCTTCCATAGCTCTTAGCTGCTGGACGAGAATCCGAAAACTTCATGAAGCTTGTCTTGACTAAAAAACATTCACTGACGCAAATATCGCTGCGTATTTTTGCTGTTTCACCATAACTTGATTTAATTTTGGCTTTGGCGAAAGAAACAAAATACCCTTCCAACGACATGACAACTTGTTGCATTTTCGACGGTTCCGAATGACAAACAAACCACTTTAGTAAAGTGTAAAGTCTTTACAGTAGAGCATTTCTACGAGCAGCAAATTGCTGAGACAATTTGTAAAATTAAATTATGCCACCTACAGTATCCGATGTCAAAATCGTTTCACCGGTACAAACCGAGGATGCTCGGCTTGTAAACATCAACCTGTACCAGTATCCTTTTGTCTGCTGGATAGTTCTGCGGGCATCCCTGTTTTGTCCTCTTCAAGCGCACCCTTTAGCCCTGGTTCATTATCGTTGATGGTTTCCTTATTCGCGACGGTTTTCCTGTGCGCAGCCTCTGTTCTGGCTTCAGCAACTCGTGCGACGACCGAATCCACCTGCACTCTAAGTGACTCCAACGCCTGTCCGGTTGAAAGTTTTTCGTCGTTATCCGACGATGGTAGCGTACTTGTATACCCAGGAGGTAACACGCGTTGCGCCTTCGACAACTACCAAGATTCTGTGACGGGGTTTACGACGAACTCCACGTACTTCTTCCAGGTCTTTCCAAACACGAACCAAGACAAGTCCAAACTGCTGATTTTCTTCCAAGGCGGAGGAGGCTGCACCGACATCAATATATGTGCCTTCGGATTGGAGTGCTCACTTGCTGAGAACGCGCTGTTTACCACCGTTGCTACGGTTCGGGGAGCTGGAGTTATCGATCGATTCAAGGAGGACAATATGTTCAAGGAGTGGAATGTGGTATTCGTGCCATACTGCACGGGTGATGCTCACGTTGGGAACCGAGTTCTTCCTGCATTCGAAAGCGGCATGGAGCAGCAATTAGGTAACCCACAGTGTCTCGGAAGAGATTTTCCCATGTTCCTGAACGGATACAACAATTCCAAGTCAGCGCTGGACTGGGCACTTCAGAACTTTCCGGATGTTGACAGCCTCGTAGTAGGAGGTGCAAGTGCTGGGTCACTGGGCGCCCAGATTTTCAATTCTCACATCACCGACATGTGGAATGTTGATGCCAAAGGCACACAGTTTTCAGTAATGGCAGACAGCTCCGTCGGAGTCTTACCAGCACGTCACCCGGTACCCAAGTTGGTAAATTACTTTGGCGGCTGTGAGAGCGGACTTGCCTTCAACTCGGATATTGCGGCAGTTTGTAGTACAGAGAATACGACAACGATTGATCTTGTTGAAGCACTTCTTGAAGACAAACCTGAAGCCAAGTGGCTTTTCATCAACAGCAAAGGTGATACAGTCCAGCGTTATTACTACGCCCTAGTGGACGAGGGAATCCAAGGTTACCCGTTCCCGAACCTCATGTCGGAAGATGATCTCTACAAGAACATGTCAGTGCTCCTAGATGCGTACCAAACCAAGAGCCCACGCATTACCACATTTTTCGCTGAAGGTGATCATCACGTCTTCCTAATGGACAAGACCTTTACAAGTTACAAGAGCGACAAAGGCCAGCCTCTCGGTGACGTTATCAATGAGTGGCTACCGATGTCACACTACAGCGGAACTTAATACTACAAATTCTGTTCGAACACGTCCTACGGGCGTTTGTCTTGTTCAGTGAACAGTCCGTGCATTTCTACTGGCTCACAGTTTATCCCCCAAATGATTTGTTTTTGTAGTTTAATAAATCCTCGCGAGCTCTCGAAGAGCGGTTGTCGTCAATTGTCGACGGTGCGTTGCCGGGCGTGCTGGTGAGAGAAGAGTGGGTCCCGATGGCAAATGCGCCTTCAGCGAAGGCGAAGATGGTAGTAACTATCGTCAGGACGCAGATTAGACGCATGGTACACGCTCGGGCCGCTGTTCTTGTTCTTCGATAGAAACACAACCGGTTGCATGCGGTTACGTGTAATGATCATAAATATGTTGTGTACTGCAAAAGGAAACAACGAAATCCGTTGAGCGTATTACATGTAGTGATGGGGACATAGCTGGTCGCAAACTGAACCAACGGACAACGTCCAAATGACCAGCGCTGCAAGTAACGTCGCTCCTCTTCAGTGGCCCACGCGTTTCATGATCGCTCTCGTTGTCGTAGAGCAAGTACTGTAATGCATCTGTGTGATCGGGACTAATCGGCGTTAAAACGCTGTACAGAAGTGGCTGAAGCGTTTTCTTGGATTAAGTCATCATTTTTATTTGCATACTGTAGTATTTTTTTTAAACTAGGGTGCATGGCATTTTGCCAAAGAGTTGTTTATTGCGACAGTATTTGCTATTTCCAATCATGGTGCTGCTTTCAGCTTTCTTAAATTTATGAAATTCTTAAACTGAGATCTTAAACTATAGCTTTCTTTTTTAAACATAAACGAGTTGACTTGAGCACTTGACACATCTGCTACATAAGATCTACATTGGATAGTCATACTTGTTATTGTGAGCTGAAGAGAAGCTGCTGTACCTGTCCCGTGACATGCAATCCACATCCTGGCACAGACATGGCTGTACATCACGGCACTAAACAAAACACAGCTAATGGACGCTCAGGACTATCAGATAAGCTGCTACTGACCTGGCAAATGTATGCAGAGGTGAGCTGATGGCTGTAAGGAAACGCAGTTTGCTCACATTTGACTTAGACTTAGTATCGGTATATTAGAGTAATGTGCAAGCTAAACTATCGACTGCGGTGAGTGGTGTTTGGCATGATGTCTAACTGTGACACTTGACGTCTGCGGCTCAAGACAGAAACTTCACTACGCCAGACCATCACCTCGCCTGTCGTAGCGTTCTGCTTCGGCATTCACGTTTCTTTATTTTGTGTTTTTTTAGGGGATACACTTATCCTACTGTCCTGGAGCCATCTACAATGACTGCTAGCCGCAGTCAAGGAACTCGTGCCACCACAGTGACGCATGACGCGTCATCGCAGGTTATGAGCCCAATTAGAGAACAGAACGAGTCGAAAGAAGACGGTGATTCGCCAGAAGTTTAGCAGCATAAAGAAGAACCCGCAAAAGCCAGGCAACCGCCAGCAGGTCAACTCCGGTGAGTCGATCTTGCCCGCAGAAGCGTTTAGACGCCGATTGGCTGAAATACCGCATGGTGTCACTTTATCGGTAAAAGATTCTTACCGTCAATTGGTAAAACGAGTAAGAGACCATAACGCTTGAGACAGAGAGCTCGACAGACGCCGTCGTGAAGAACAAGCCTCCCCTCGCGACTGTCAAGGTCCGCAGGTGCCTAGCGAACCAATTGCGTCAAGTGAGCTCAGAGAACAAGGAGAAGGAGGAGCCCCGAACGACACGCGCAGCCGAGCCTTGTGAAACGGAACCAATATGCTGGACAACCCGTTCAGCGCCAGTTGCGACGACGAGGGGATCGGACGCCACACTGAGATAATGCTTGGTAAGGGGATGCCCTTGTTCAAGCTATCGGACAACAAGCATGACTTCGACAAGTGGAATAGTGAGGTAACCTTGCGGTTCCCCACTTACAAGCTGAGTGCAATCACTTATGGTGCGGAGCGCTACAACTCTGTGGCAGGACTCAACCGTCAGAAGTATCACGACACGCATCGATCCATGGCATTCACGACCACGGCGCTGTCCGTGGACATGCATTTGCGGGAGATGTTCATGGTGGACAATTGCAGGGACCAGATGGAAGGTCCATCGTTGCTCTGGGACTGCATTCCGGCGCCTTTCACCAAGGGCGATCGTGTGAACCCGGACTACATTCTGCGAGAATGAGCTTAAGCTGGGCCAGACCATAGACGCCTACGTGACCAAGAGCGAAGAGCTGGTGCGACAGCTGCGTCGAGCAAAGGGCCAGATGGAGGAGTGGTAGCATGCAAGCTTACTGATCTCTAACTCGCAGCGTGTGCTCCATGAGCAGGCGGAACAAAATACCGTCTGGTGCAGCAAAAACGGATCGTCTCTCGCTAGCTCGTGCTGAAGCCATGCATCGACTATGCCAAGCAGAGAAATCTCGCTTGCAAAGGGACAACTTGCAGTCATCTGTGGCTGCGACACGTGCAGCGCAACTGAGCTACGTAGGCCAAGGACGCAATGCCGGCAAGAAGAAACGAAGTGCTGGCAAGGCGGACGAGCTGATGATGAAGAACCCTCGGACCAAGTGCGGCAACTGCGACAAAGTCGGTCATTGGTATGTCGAGTGTACTGCCGTGACTGGTCAGCAGTTGAAGTCAGCGTTGGTGGAGAAGTTGAAGTCCAAGGGCAAGCGTCCTGCGACCCCTTTCGTTGGACGATTGTACGGCAAGACCGCGTCGTTCAACGCGTTGGTACTACAACTACGTCTGCTGACTCACCTGCCTACTCGCCGACGACACTGGCCACTCCTGATCAAGCTGGCCGAGGGTTTCGTTACGGGATGTCCCCACCGCACTTCAGTAGCGGCATCTGCGAGGCGACCATTTGGGTCGTCGAGTGCAAGACGACGGTGGAAGGCAACCAAGTACGTTTGGGACGTACGCAGTCCGTTACTACCATGTTCAGCGAGGATCACGGGGGGGGATCATCTTACGCTAGGGATTGCAGTTACGGACCATCACGTGGAGATTGGAGCCAAAGACAAGGAGATGACTTCTCGAGACGTGATGACCGTGCTTGGCCACCACGTCGCTTTGATGATCGAGAAAAATTACCATGTCGCTTTGATCGCCCAGGGCGCTCCTCATCGCGGGGTCCCTACAATGACCAAGGTCAAGCCTATCGTGGAGATAGGCGCCGACCGATGTCGCCACACTATCGGGACAATCAGCAGCAGCAACGCTGGTCACAACCGTGCGAGAGAGGCCGGTCGCCGTGGCACAATGAGCGTCGTGGCCCCTCGCCGCCACGCCACAGCGACCGGCGAGTATTTGACGGTGCCCGTCGAAGTGAACCGCGTATGGTGAATGCAGTCCGCCAGAATAAAGTTATGCAAGCGCCTGAGAGCTTTGTCGAGTGGATTCTTGACTCTGGCTCCCAGGCAAATTTATGCAATGATTTATCACTGTTCACTACTGTGACGAATTCGTCTGCCAATAGACTTTACTTTGCTAACGGAACGTCGTTATCGACTATTGTTTGGGGGACTGCATTGTTTTGCGTATGCAATCAGATCACTGGGGATGGAGGACAAACAGCTGGATGAAGTAATTTACGTTTCAAACGCGAAGATGAACATTATCAATCTTGGATACATGCAAATGACTGGCCAGTTTAAGTTTATTTGCTCGGGCGACCAGAGAGCTGCGTGGCTGTCTAAAGCCGGTTGTGCTTTGCGCTTTGACATGCGTGACAACATCTACCGTCTACGTGTTGCACATATAGCTGGTGTGATGGTGAATTCGGTGCAGAGGAAGGAGAAGAGCTGTGAGAGCGTGATAAAACTACTCCATCAGCGCTTCGGTTACTTGAGCATGGACACGGTGAAGGCGATGTCGAACAAGTTGCATGTTGGAGTTAAAATTTATGCGAGAGATCTGTGAGCTTATGACTGTGCTGCGTGCCATTCAAGAAAGGCTAAGCAAATGCATCATGAACGACGACCTGTGCGGGAGCTGCAGCCCATTTCGATACTGGTGATGGACATTTGTTCGATGACTGAACCTACAGCTGCGATGTTTCTCTGTGTGCTCGACGAAGCGACTCGATTTATGTGGGTGTTTTTGCTTGGGAAGAAGAGTGAAGCCACCTCTTTTATTATCAAGTTTCTAAACGAGTTGCAACTCAGCTTAAACACTACCATGTGCAGCGACTGTATACTGATCAAGGTGGCAAATTTGCAAGTAATGAACTGTAAAATTTCTGTGAGCAACGTGGACTCATTCAGCTGTTCACGAATGCATACGCGCCCCAAGCAAACGGCATTGCTGATCGTGCAAACGGAGTGGTGCTTTTGCGCATCGGAGCAATGCTGACTTTTACACGTCTGCCCAATATGTTGTGGGGTGAGGCACTGCTGCATGTGGTGAACACGTTGAACGTGCTACCAACCACAGCACTTGGATTTATTTCGCCACATTTAACGTTGTATGGAGTGAATCCAGATCTCAGTGTCCTGCAGACAGGGGGGAGGGGTGTCTTGCGTGGGTTCAAAATCTAACCGGAGTCTCAGCAACGGAAGGAAAATCGGAACCCGAGTGCAAGACCGAGTTTATTGTTGGGCTACAGCAACTCACCAAAAGACTACAAGTTCATGGGTCTATCTACCTGTCAGGTGCTTACTACCCAAGGTGGTAATGCTCGCTTTTACAAAGCCTTCACTGCACATGGAGATTATGTGAAGCACCCGCTAGAGAGCACGTACCAAGAATGTGATCACAAGCTTCTGTTAACAGTGCCTGTTGATAGAATCAAGACCACAATTACTACCTACGCTACGACTACTGCTGAACGAGTACAGAGTGACTTGGACTTACTTGCATCGGATGCTGCTCCAGTTGGAGTTGTATGTGGGTGTGTATCTGACGGGCTTCGCCTGCGGTTGCCAGTGCAGTCAAGTCCAGTGGGAGAATTGTGACCTCCGGTGGGAGGCCAGATCACAGTGTAAGACAACCTGGTGCAACTACTTCACCTGCAAAGGGTAGACGCGGGTCCGGCGCGAGCTTTCAAGTGCACGCGACGCATGCGCACACCGCTCTTTACCAAGTAGTTAGGGACCATCAGCAGGCTCTTAGTGTGCATCTGAGGCTCCAGGGCTAGGGCTCCATCGCTTAGGAACGCTATCATAGCTTGGATCCTGTTCTTCCACAAAGCGAGTCTGTTGTAGCCCGAACATATCAACCGGGGACACCAAGAGTTGGTCAGTAGACTCTTCCTCGTCGGGTGACGCCACTGAACTTGAGTCGCCAGCGTTCTCTAACAAGAGCCCCGTAGGGAGCAGAGTCGAGTCGAGAGGCGCAGTCTCCCCGACTTCGACAGTACTAGGGGGGACGCGTCAGCATCATTGAGTAGCTCCGCCATATAGATCGCATTGATGGTTTGGGTGTGAAGTCTGGACAGACCATCCACATGACCCATATAAGTACCGGGCTTGTGGAGCACCTTGAAGCGCAGTTGAAACCACTCCATGGCCCACCTAGCCAGCTTAGCGTTACTCGTGCGGTTAGTCTCGTTGAAGCCCCACGTCAAAGCTTTGTGATCCGTGTACAGGTCGAATTCGCAGCGATCCAGGTTGCAGCGAAACTTACGCGTGACCCTTACTATGCCCCAACCCTCGATTTCCGAGGTACCGTCCTCCTTATGGACCCAGTTCTTCTCAGAACCAACTAGTAGTTTGCTCACATAAGCTACGACTCTCTCGCGCCCATCCACAATTTGCATTAAGCACGCTCCCACGGCGACTTTGGACGAGTCCACGTACAGATGGAAGCGTCTTGAAATGTCAGGATACTCAAGGATAGGAGCTTCCACTAGCTTACGCTTGAGTTGCAGGAAAGCGGCTTTGCAGTCGTCGCTCCAAAAGAACCGAGCTCCCTTCATCTTGAGCCGTTCTTTCGGAGTCGATATAGCCGCGTATCCCGGTATGTACCACCTGAAGTAGCTAGTCAAACCCAGGAACGATCTCACAGTGTGCAAGTCGTGCGGTCTTAGCACATTCATTACCGACTTGACTTTCTCAGGGTTGGGCAAGATGCCAGAAGGAGTGACGATGTGTCCCAAGAACGCTACCTGGTCACGAGCCCACTTATCTTGAGCTTGAACCCAGTTGATCGGAACTGTTCTAAGACTTGCTTTAGTCATACTAGGTGAGTAGGAAAGTCTTCGCTGAAAACCACGCAGTCGTCGAGGTACACTAGACAAGTCCTCCACTTAAGGTCGACGAGCACACTTTCCATCAGTCGTTCAGAGGCCGGGACAGCATTACATAGTCCAAAAGCCATTACGAGCCATTCGAAGAGACCACGTTTGAAACTGAAGGCTGTCTTCTCTACACTCTCTGCGGCCATCGGAACGTTCCAGTTGCCAGACGCAATGTCCATCGTAGAGAACTGTTTAGCGTTTCCTAGCACATCCAGAATATCGTCAATGAGCGGCATCGGGTAGCGGTTCTTGATAGTGACAGCGTTCAGTCTCCGATAGTCGATGCAGAACCGTATCCCGTCGTCAGGTTTGCGGATCATAAGCACCGGGCTAGCCCTAGGGCAAGAAGAGGGTCGTATGAGCTCTTGGCGCAAGTACACTTGTATTTCAGACCCCATCACGTCTCCTTCCGCCTCCTCCTGCTGCTGGTCGAGGTCATTCGAGACCTCCCGGGGCTCAGCGATAGCACCCTCCTCCTCCTCTTCTTCCTCCTTCTTCTCCTCTTCTTCCGAGGTGTCGAAGATACTCTGATAGGAGTGTTGAGTCTCCTTCTCCTCGCGGAGTGGAGACTTAGAGGCTGTACGCTTCTTTGAGGGATTGGCGCCTTCGGCTTTAGAGGTCTTAGCGCAAGCCCTCGGCAAGCGAGAGACGTTTGCGAGGATTCTCTTGCTCATCGCCACCGGCTTTCGGAGTGCCCTTAGCCTTGACGGCCGGACTCTCAGAGCGCACATACGTTCTGGGACTGTGATCACCTTGATCACTAGCGAGCGACTGCACGCTGTCATCCTTGTGCTCACTGGGCACTAAGCTGTGCCCTCCCACAGAGTCCGCAGGAGCATCGTGCGTGCTCTCGGACTCGGCTTCATCCTCACTGCCAGAGTTGAACTCACGTTCCACGAACCAAGGGTTCGGACGATTGTCTGAGGCCGAGGGCGACGGAC